AGGGCCTAAAGACTCGCTGTCGGTCAGTACATGCATCTGACGTTCCGTTTCGTGGAACTTCCACCGAGGCTCCGCAATACTGGTTGATCATTTCTTGGATACCGTTCATCGACGCCAAATCCGAGTTTCAGCCAAGCCCACACGACTGGCCTTCGATTTCAGCGCTTCAGTGGCCAATGAATCCGCGGCAACGTTGTATTCTCGTACCATATGGAGAAATGTCACTGATCGAAGCTTGTCCGTGAGCTCCTTGTGGATATTCAGCAGCGCTAACAGTGTCTTCCTCCTGCATGCGATCACCCTAGTAATAGTAGAATCGCGAGTCCTGAGTAACCAACGATGAATAAATCTTCGGCACCGTACGCAATGGCTGCCTTGACACCGTTTATCATCCCTGTGTACTTAGCTTCGAGTGACACATGATTATTCCGCAAAACAAGAAGCAACCGATGCCTCATTTCGGGAAAAACATGATCAAATTGGCGGTGGAGCCCAGCGTAAGCCTAAACGCCGTGTCCTATACGTAAATATGCGGCGCCGAGAGCGTACCAACGTTGTCGTACTGTCATCAGAAGAGCAATACCGCTATGCAAAAGCTGTGTTTGAACCTGTGATGGAACATCTAACGGAATTGTCGAGTCCAGCATTTTACTCCGCCCTGAAGGCCCGGAAAACAATAGCTAACAAAGGTATACACGATGTTGGATCAGCCGAAGAGCAAACATCACGCGCTACAACAGTGCCATATGAAGACGGATCATGATAAGACTTGGATGCTATCGACACTACGTCTGACATAACGCTAGCAGACCTCATTGAAACTATGAATTTCATTCGTGAAATGGAGAAAAGTGAGTTCGATCTGCAAAGAAATACTACAAGGGACGAGGTGTTGCAGGAAAGTGGGCTGGGTAGGTCAACCTCCCGGAATGAAACAACTCCGTCCAGTGACATTGACTTCGCCACCTCTTCCACTACGGCGAAACCTGGCGTGCCTTCGAACTAAAGAAGTACTACCCGGCAAAAGCCGCCATCACGGTCAAATCTACGGACGAAACCCCCAGTGTGAAGATCTATTGCCCCCTCCCAAAAAAAAGCTGCAGTATGTAAAGGCAGAAGCGACAAAGAAAAGATCGAAAAAAGCTGGAGCACAAGGAGGCCGGCTTGAAGTGCTTCGTGTTCCAAACCCCAATCCACGGAGCAACCAACGAAAAACCCTAAAGCAATCTCAGCTGGAGAAACTCGCAAAGCATAATAAGCTAGCCGTTATTACGTTGCCGGACAAACGTGTGCCATCTGTGTCTCGCGGCATCGTGTGGGCAACAAATACTACCGACCAGAATCATGTCAGCGAAATCTTGGCAGGTTACCAAACGATCTGGGACGATGATTTCATGAATGCACGTATTGCACACAGCCGTCGAGCGTCTGTGTCTCCCAAGGACTACGTCTACAGCTTTGTGATTTCCGAACCGCTAGTAATCAAGCTGAAATCGGTCATTGAAGCAGAATGGAAGAAGCGACCCAAGTCGAAGTATTTCAACTCCGTGGTTGAGCACCAGGACAGCAACACCGAAGCAATTATTGCACTTTTTCCTGGTGGAACGCCACGATTTATAAGGTAAGCTTTTGTTGTGTTGCTTGTTGTGTTGTCCGGTGTGTTGCTAGGTGTGTTGCTGTGACTGACTTGCTTCTACAATGCTGTTGGTTGCTGTACAGATCCGTTACAACAGTGAAGCTGTCTTCAAAATGTCGGAGTTTTACAACGTGATAAAAACAGCTAACGCATGGAGAGCTGACATGGAATAGCTGCAAACGATCAAATGGAGCAATATCCTTGCAAACCCAGAGCTGTTCAAAGCGGAGACTGATTCGGACGACATATTCTTACTGTCGGCGGGGGGAAAACATCGGGAGCTGACAAACGAAGTGGTGGTACAGCTCGAGGGTGCTTGTTGAAATTCTACTTTCCGACTATTAAGCGGTGAAGGCACCGTTAAGGTCGACACGCTCATTGGAATGCTTGCGCGCGATAGAATGCTCTCTAAGGTCATTAGCATTTTCAGTGTTCGATGCATCTGCGATGCGCTGGGAGATTGTTATGCATTGGATTCAATTTCGCCAACTATGGGCTGTCCGAAATCACCCCAGCCACGGATATTAAGCTTCCACTACCTTGTGTTGCCTCTGCATTTAAGCAACATTCATTGGGGTGTCAGCGTCGTCGCCATTGTTTACAAAAGAGAAGATCCGTGCTTTACGCCCTACTACTACGAGCCAATGTGCGGAGCTTCGTATTGGGATACGATGGAAGCGACTTACACGTCTACGGCTCTGCAATTTTTGATAGCGTGGCATGATAAAACCATGCCGAATGAAGATTATCCGGTGGAGCACAGTAACGTATTGTTAATCTCGCCAAAGCAGCCCGATGGAACCTCGTGTGGTGTGTTGACGATAGCCCAAGTGTTTTCCGTGTTGAAGGGCAGCTTCCCGCTTGCACAAGGTGCCGTTACAAAGGACGATATCACAATTATGCGGCTACGTATCATAAGGATGATAGTTATGCAACCAGACGTTAACACTGTAGCAAACCAAATTGCTAAGGAGATAGAGGCGACTGACTTGGAGGTACTTGCGACCATAACACATTAGCACGAGCAGTTGCTTTCGCCAAATGGTATTGATGTTTAAGTATTTACCTTATCTCGTCTTCTTCCAGTGGCTTTGCATTAAGCTGACTTAAATGTGCTCTAATAGAGCTTCGCAGAACTGTTCGAGAGCCACTGGGTACGACATCACGTTTCCTTTTTCGTTCGTAGGTATTCCAGCAGCGACGGCAAGGCGGATAGTATTTTCCTACTCGTAAGCTATCATCAGAGCCAACTCGTCTCGTTCATTCATAAGCTCTAGATAATACTGTGAAATTTTCTTTAGCTTTTCTTCTATCAGCTTAATATTCTGGAGGCGAGAGCGCAGCATTTGCTTGCAAACCATAGCCTTTCGAGTGCCACGGAGAGTGGTGCCGTCTTTACGTTGTGGCTAATCTGTCGGGGGGCGGGGGGGGGGGTGCGGGTCGTTGCTTTAAAATGCAAATAGTCTCTTTTAAGTGCGAATTTGAGCTACAAATTGGATACGTCTATGCTTATTTTTTTGGACCATTTTTTAATGTCGACTCCCCCTAATAATATATATCACAAGCGAGCTGATAATCGAAGTACCACGCTGGATAGATGTACAAACGGAGTCTATTTACGGTAGGCTCGAAGTGTATGCAGCATTAAAGCGTTTGTAGTTTTCGACGATTTCCTTTTCGAGCTGTGTGGTTCGTTGACTGGTAGCGCTTCCGGGTACAGTTCTAGACGAAACTAGGAGGTGCGCGACAGCACTTGGCGTCTTCTCCTCACTTGCCCACTTGCCAAACTGCAAGATCTGGAAATCATTAGCCATTTTCTTAGAGCTGTCGATCAACAAAGCCTTGTGGGCAATGCGAGCCAAATCTCCGTCCTTATAGTGCTTGGACAGTGTTGATAGCAAGGTCGTGGATTCGTCTGCGAAGTCCTTGTTAAATCGCTTCATGAAGGTGATCCACGTGCTCAACTGTGTCCTAGCGAAAAGGTCGTCCCCTGCGAGATGGAGTTTAAGCAGTTTAAACACTTCATCGGTCGACTGTCCTGTGGCCATCCAATTGTTCACTTGTGCGGCCTCAAGTTTATTCGCAATGCTCTTCGTCTTGCGGCTCATCTTCGCCGCCGCGAGCATCTCAGCTAATACGTCGTCACCGTAGCGAAGCGTTAACACGGAGGCCATTGTTTGTTCCGGATTGGTCTTGTCGAATTTGCTCACATAAGTGACCCAAGTTTTCCATCGTGGGTTCTTGAACAAATTGGACCCTGCTTCGTGAAGTTTCAGTAGGTTGAAGACTTCTTTCGGTGACTTTTTCGTTATTAACCACACTGGAAGTTGGGCGTACCCCGTGAGCTTTGATGTCACAGACTTAGCTGCGTTTGTTAATGCGGACGTTGGGAGCGCTCGATCTTCTTTGTCGTCTTCGATTGTCAGCGCAGCAGCTCGAAGCCGTCTCCTGGTGAGACCGCGGGAATCGCGTATGGCTGTCGTCGACGCCGCAGCTGCCGATAATACAGCCGCAAGAATCAAAATCGCGAAGAATGTTCGCCTCATTTACCTAATTTAAATTCCGCGGAACAAATTGATGATGCACAGGACAGGTACGAATTGTTGGTGCACTGCTGAGGTTGCATGACTGTACCGGTACTGTAAATCCAGTTCGAGCCCGGAAGCATAAATTTGATGTGCTAGTACATGTACAGAGACATGAAATCCGCTCAGTTTTACTCACTATTAGTACATGAAGAGCAATGCTCAGTATAGTATACTCAGGGGTATACTGAGTATACCCCTGAAACATCCACCACATGGAGGTTAAAGCCTCGCTTGTATCTAGTCATGATCGGGACTAGGTTTGCATCCGCGTGGCTCTGAAAACCGCAGGCCGCCTGCCAGGCGTGCTCGCTGCGCTCGCATTAGATACCCTGCGCGCGTGGTTCAAGTTTGGTTTTATTAATATCCCTTCGGTGTGGGGTCTAGCAAAAAAGCTTCACTTGCTACACGTATATTACTTCAAAGCGCTGCATTACGATGATTCATGTATTATTAATAGCAGGGTGCACTAATACACGTACAACACATTGTGCTGCAGCAGAGTGCTGTACCTCGTCAGTGGTGAATCGTGATCATCTCAAATTGAGATACAATTGAGCCATCGAATATTGATAATTATAAACACATTAGGGTACGGTACTATTTCTGTAATTTTTAGCAAAACAGAAGAGTCTAGTAACGCCGGGAACCAACATGTTATTCCTAGCAAAGGGTATTCTTGGCTCGGCCAGGTGTATTTCCGAAATGGTACACTGTACATTTACAGAGCACGCTACCATCCATTCCATTCCTTGCGTTTGCGGTCCTCTCGGGTCTCCCCCATTCTTCGATTTTCCAAGCTATTGCCACCAAAGGAATCTAAGTCAACCCGCTACATGCTCACCAATGTTCAGCGAAGCAGAGAATGACGCCAGCTCTATTCTTGCGGATATTTAGGAGCACCTTAAGTCGATCGCAAAGTTGCATATTCGAGCATATTCAACAGGCGTGTCGGATACAGTAAAAGTGAACAGGGGGTTAGAAAGATGCAGAGAGCGGTGCGAGATGAGCCAAGCAGGTAGGAAAGATGCAAGCAGCAAGTCATTTTGCTTGCCTACCTCTCACGCTACACAATAGTGATATTATCCTAGTTATTCACCTCAGAGCAGTCATTTCTGCTAATTTTGTATTCCATATCAGGAGGGAGAGGAAAGAGGTAATATAATTTTAGGCTTGTAAACTTGATTTCAGAAACCAATATTTTTTCTGTATTCCAAGAGTAAAGACTATAATTCATTGTGCTTTGCAGATGGAATGTCCATCCGTTTTTTAGCCTAGATCGAGCATGGTCGGAGTATAAATCACGCGTAAAAAGAGATGGGAAAAGGCAGACATCGATTTGTTTTATCTGTGATCAACTTACCATTTAAAAACGGCAAAAAGGGTCGATTTACACTATATCGATGTGGATTTGATGGTTGATCGATGCCGAGCGGTCGATTTGACTGCTATAGCTCCATTTATCAGCCAGTCTAGCTAGATCGATTTGTACTTTTTATTGACCTCGATTTAATAAAACGATCTCTATTTATTATAAATCGTGCATCAGGCTAAGTGAAATGATTGAAATGCACAATAAACTTGGTAAGGTTAAATCAGCCCATGGACGCCGCCCAAAAACTGCCATAAGAGGGTATCATATGTCATCCTAAAATTTAGCTCTAAACTTAAAGAGTGCACAGGTACAAAATGTCGATAATTTCTGATGTATGTCAATCGTGATGCGAGTGAGCAGAACGGCGATGGGCGCAGATTAAATTTTACTCTGAGGAGTTGCCGGAGGTCAGGGTGCACAGCTGAATTACCCCGCAAATTATTATGACCGGATTTACGTCTCGCGAGACGGGCGGCGGGGTATGCCAGGCATATCATCTATCGGAGGTCTTGTCCTTATGGTAGCGTCCCATGGTTAGCGCAGTTTTAATGTGAATTTTGGCCTTTTGGCATAAGGGGACTTTTTCTTCAGTAGGGTTGGGGATGTAAGTTTCTTTAAGTGTTCAGAAACACTGAATTCGCGTCAAGTTTTCTTTGTAGATATTTTGTCCAATCACGTATCACCAAAACTATCTGCCTTTAAAGGTCATCTGGAGGTAGCTGCTAGCCGGAATACCCAAATGGCTGACAATCAACATTCCATTCGAGTCTTTCCTGTCCGCAGAGGAGATTAAGATGACCTACTCGACAGACATGCGTTGGAGAGCGATCGAGCCGATGTGCGTGTACTCTGTCGAAGCAGCACCTACTGTAGCCACTGCTCTAGGCACAACCTGCACGAAGTTTAGGGCGCTGGTAAAGACGTTTTTGCATGACATGGATGTGTTCAAGGACAAGCCACGTACTAAAACTTCGCGTTGGCCTTCGCACGTATGTATATTTGTCCGTCAGTACGTTCAAGATCAAGTGGTGCTGGAAATTCCACGTGAGCTCTAGCTACAAATCTAGTTAGGAAGCTCCCACAACAATGCGCCTGATAGGATAGCAAACGATCGTTCGGGTGGACCTGAAGACCCTAGTTCTGCACTTGCATCGGACCTTGTAAACTACTTATATAGGCCAACCAGTAAATATGAAATCACGCTACTAGCGCCAGCAAAGCTAATAGATGTTATGAAACCCTATGGCCCAACAGCGGGAGGGCATCAGGCACGGGTAAGCCTTTTACGAGGGCATCGAGTTCTCGACACTCCGCTGAACGAATAAAAGGGATGCAATATAAGCACTCCCAGTCGTGCAAATAGGAGCACTAAGCCGTCACGTAAACCTCCCGATAGTCTCTTGGCCTTGCTCTTCACGGCGATGCTCGTACCAGCGTCGTCTTGAGACCACGGTGGGCTTCGCCGATGTTCTCGCGGATGTACATCCTCTTCCTGACGTGCTAACGGGTCTTTCCGACCGAGTTGTCCGTTTGGAGGGTCAGATGTGGGCTCACTGAGCCCGCAGACGCCGTACGTTCAGTGGATACCGAAATCATGGCCCGTGAAAACGCGGAGGCTTCTTGAAGGCCGCCAACGCCGAAGTTGACACTCTCCGTACAAACGTCAAGATTTACCTCGAATACAATGCCAAGAACGATGCTATGCTCTTGAGTGTGCAGACTTCGATGGAACAGCTTTCGGAAAAGCTGAGGCGTGTGCACCTCGAAGATCAAGCGCGTGTGATGTTTGACCATCTCTGCTTCTCGTCCTGTGCCGCCATTATCCGTCTGCGTCGCTCATGCTGTATTGCTACCGGGTCAACATTATCAGCATCGGGAAATACCGCTGGCACAGGCTTGCGGGCAATGACGAACCCCGTGAACGAGCGCTGAAATTGGAGCAACGCAGTGTTTCCCCTGCGGTACTTTTTTTATGTGCTCATCTCCACCTAAAACAAGAAGCTTGTCAGGGAACGCAAAGAGTACAAGTCTGCAGTTGGTGCGAGCACCGAGCAGACCCGTCAGCTCCATCTTCTCTTGGTCAAGCTCGCCAAGGACAAGTACATTGACAATCACACACTCCATATTCTCAAGATTCAGCAAACCCGCAGCACGCACCTTTTTTAAGTCATTCGTACTTTCTGAGCACAACTGAGTCTGGCTGGGATGGATCCTGAGCTCCTGCGACTGGCTGTTGATGGTACGTTCCAGCTGTTGTTGCTTCCACCGTGTGTCAGCAACTAACGTTTTCACAATTTCTTGCGATAGGTTTTCCCGCGGTTGAACTGGATCTGGATGCTCTGGATCTAGATCAAGAGACTCTGGTTGCTCTGCAACGCATAAACGTCTGATGTCGTGTCTTCGCCTTCCCCTCAGATACTCCCTGCAGATTTAGCGCAAGCTGTTCACCAGATGGCTCGTGGCAAGCTTCTCAAGCGACTTCGACCAGGGGCAAAGAGCCGGACCACGGTCCAGACGACTCCGATGAAGAACAATCTCGCATCACGACCGACAAAGGCCAGTACTTTCATGGCAGCTGCTGGTCTCGATGATGTAGCATCTGCGGAGCCTTCAGCTACCACGTCCTTACGTCGGTCACGCTTCAGTGCAAAGGCATGGAAACAGGCTGCACAGAAGAAGCGCCAGAAGGCTCGCCCTCGTTCTCCTGGCAGTTCACCTCGACGTTGTTCGAAGGCTCGGTCGGAGTCTGTGCTATCTTCTCCTCGCTCATGGTCGCCGCCTCGCAACCCGGCGCCGTCGTCAGCTGTACTGCGCTATCATGCTTCGCCTCCACAGACCCCGGCTGTCGTTGACCTCAGCGGTGACCAGCGTGACGTGGAAATGACCGACGTCAGCTCAAGTGGTGCCATGACAGCTCAGGGCCCTGACACCGCATCTCCGGGTGTTCTGTTGGCTCTGGGCTCACAAAGATGACGCCGAACTTTCTGATGCGCCTTCGTCTCCACATCAGGGTGCTCATGACGAGACTAAGCCGTCTGCGTCAGGGAATCCCCTTCATCAGCTGATATACACGCTGCTGATGAAGCTTTGCGTGAGGCAGAGGGTCTCCGCCTCCTGTTCGGCTCGAATGAGAAGATAAAGAGTCCGAAAACACAGCTCCGTCGGGCAAGTCTGCTACGATGTCTGCCGCAGCTTCCAGGACGACCGAAGTCTCGGGGGCTGTCTCTACAGCAGGGACTGTCTCTTTTTAAGCTACTCCAGTTGCCGCTGGGTGTTCTAAATCGGCCCCGCCTGTTCCGGTTGCTACTGTATCAAGTACCTCTTCAGCCTATTTCTCCATGGAGATTGATGACGATGGTAATGATGATGACGATCGTGGAGATGGAAATGATGATGATGAGCCCTCGGTGGACATTCCAGTTAGTGATACCGGTGGTGGCGGTGGTGTTCCACCACCTACCGATCATTCACGTCGGGCTGGTGACGATGGCTCAGCGGATTCCGATAATAACTGGAGCGGTCTTGGTCCTGCTGGGCCTCCAACTCCTCCTCGGCCGAATCCTTCATCCATGACAGCTTCGCTGAT